TCCGTGAAAGAAATCAGGAGGGTGGGTACTCAGAGGAGGGCTTTCTCTGCGGTGGCGCCTAAGTTATGGAACGCGCTCCCCAGAGAGGTCCGCCTGGCGCCGTCGTTATTTGTTTTTCGGCGCCAGGCAAAGACCTTTTTATTCAAGCGGCATTTTAACTGTTAACATTATTGTTTTATCTGGCCAGGGCGGCTTATTTTATACTGAATTGCTGTATTTTAATTTTATATTTATATTTTAATTTATATTATAATTATTTTAACTTAATGATGTGAGCCGCCCCGAGGCTTCGGCGAATGGGGCGGCATAAAAATGTTTTAATAAATAAATAAATAAATAAATAAATATCGGATAGAGGCTGTGATTTCCCCCTTCCCTCTCCCAAAAGATGGATTGAGCTGTAGAAATCTGGAACCAGATGCAGCATCTAGGTTGCATCAGTGGCTTACCAAGGAATGAGGTTGAATGTGCATGAAAGCAGAGAATTGCACCCACTGGGCAGCCAAGAAATCAAACACACACACACACACACACACACACACACACACACATATATATTACTTAGGGGCAACCCTATGGCCTCCTCGCATCTTATTTTTTAGGGGTGCAAAGTCCCAGCTCAGAAATTCTGCAGACTCGGAGCTGGGACTCTGAAAGCTGAGCCTCTGCCTGGGACCCATTGGATCCCATGTGGGCAGACCCCTGACTGGCTGCCTCCCCTGGGGCCATGCGTGCCCCTTAGAGGAGAGGAAAAGGGGTGTGGGGGGCAGGGAGTGAGAAGGTGGGTCTCAGGGAGTGCACCTATTTGTACCAGCCTCCCTGCCACATTCTCTGCCCAGCACGTAATCTAAATGGCGGAAAACGGCCATGCGCAGCACCGCAGAGATCGCCAGCGCCAGGCTTCCTCTGGGGCTTCTGATGCATGTAGATGTGCAGATTTGGACGCTTTCCTGCACCAAAGGCAGGGGCAATAGGATCTCGCTCCTACTTATTTAATAGATTTATATATGGCTAAGGAGCTTTAAAAACAGCTCTGAGCAGTTGCAGTGCCTGCCAGCACATCGATCCAAAGAGACGGTGCAGATGCTTTAAAATATTAAAAATCTCCGTGAGATATATTAATATAGTGCTCTGTTAACTCAGACAACAGAGTTCCGTGGGGGATAATCGGTTTAAATATTTGAGCGTATTTGAAATTGCAGGTGGCAAGCACGTCATAAAGATGTATTCTGTCTTATCTGGTGCTTTCTGGAAAGAATGTCTCTTTGGTGGTGGTGCCTGCTTTTTCAGCATTGCCTAAAAAGAGTGTTGCATTTTTGCTGCTTTTTTTCCTATTTGCATCTTTATACAAATATGATTGACTGATCACTTTAGTTCCTTAATTCCATGTAGTCAGTCGGCCAAGATTTCTTTTATTACAAGGTTGACAGTCCGAGATTTAAGAAATTGTAGCTGATTGATTGAATGAATTTTAGTCAATTAAAGGTAGAATCCTATGGGTGCTGAGGACTTTTTCTCTCTAAACTCCTTGTTTGGCTGACTGGGGCATGCTGGGAGTTGTAGGAACATTTTTCTATCCTTGCATGCAGAGGACTTCCCCTGTAAGCTAACTCAGTTTGCATGCATATGAACTAAAACTGGTTCCCCCACCCCAAAACAGGCATCTTGTTCATTTCTTAGTTGTTGTAGGGGGAAGCCTCTTAGAAGAGGTATGCTCCACTGAAGTACACTCTCACCCTGAGCAAAGCATGCTTCTCTTAAGATGGCTACAGTTTTTCTGAGAACCCGTTTCTGTCAATCATTTGTCTATAAAATCTCATGGCAAGCTAATCAGGGCATCCTTCTGTTAGAAGAAAATATTTTTAATCAACTAAACTTTGCAGCCTTCCTTGCTTTACACCAAGGGAATAGAAACTCATAGCAAGCCATTCCCACTAGAGTTGGCAGCATACCTTTCCCAAGGCCTTTGAAAAAATCGGCCTTAAAATAGACATTTCTTTATAGCCCAGGAACAACACTCCCTCATTTTTGGATGTCATAACAGAGTACAGATTTGTCACACATCTGTCTCCAAAGTACAAAAACAGTTTCAGTTCTTTCACTATATAGAGTTATGGTTGGAAAAGAAAGTATCATGCAAGCAGTGCTTGGAATGTGATTCTAAAAGAAATATGGAAGAAGGGAGCTGGGGTAGCCAAATAAGAGAGTTTGCTGCAGTTGTTGTTTGGGGTGTTTGTGAGCAAGGAGGCAGGAGACTCCTCTGCTCCTCCTCCTGACCAGCTCAATCATCTGAGCCAGAAGAAGCAGTGGGTGAGCAAGCAGCTTGCGGTGGCAAGAGGAGGAGAGCTCCAGGGGGCATTGGCCGTTGGTGGGGCCCTGGCCCTGTGCCCAACCTTGCCTGTCCATCACCTGGGCCCATTACCGGGCCCGTCACTCCAGACATCCCTAGCAGGATATCAGCAGCTGGAGAGTTGAGTACAACAAAATAGCGATCACAGAATGCCATCCGTATTGAGCTGAGCTGTAGCTTGACGGCAGGAGCCTGCTGTTTTGGCAGACTATTAATTCTTAAATTCATGTGAACACTTGTACGTTCAACTCCCCTTTTAACAGTAAAGGGCAAAATAGTGTGAAATACTGTGGAAAATGGCTTCCTTCTGTTAGAATTAAAAAGTGGGATATTGTGGGAGGGTTTGGTAAAGTGCCATGAAATGAAGCTCTCAAATTGGAAGTGGAGTTTGTCGTGTAGAAATGAGCAGAGATCACGTTATCTTTAACCATGTTCTTGGCTCATAAAAATAATTTAATTAGTTTTCATTAAAAAAAACCCTTGGTCATCACACACTGGGGCAAGGTTAAGTTAACTATTCAGAGCCATTATAGAGTTCAGGTATTGATTCTCATTGTCCTGTGCGCCACCATCTCTCCCCATGCTGAAAAACCCTTAATACATACAAGCTATCTTGTGGCTGTGAAACAGGCAGGCGTCTGCTTCGTCACTAGCATTCTAATCCTCTTCCAGCTGGAAGGAAAAGCAAGGTCCTGTTGCAGCTTCATTACCAGACACTAGTCCCAGTGGGGCAATGTAGAAAATACTCAAAGCCATGCAGGGGTTCCTGTTTGTCATGCTGTCCAGACGTGTGCAGAATCTTGAGAAGGGTGCAGCCTGTGAGAAGCTCATTAGGAATAAAGGACGCTAACAAGGCTGGGTATTTGCCTTTCTGGCCCTAGTGCTACCTGCTCTGCCAGGATAGCAGCCCTGCATGTTTTCAGTCACACACACACACACCCCATCATCTGCTACTTGCTCCTAGTTACCTGGAATGGGGATGTAGAACCTCAGGTCCAGGGGCCCAAGATGGCCACATATCCTGCCTCCAAATCTTCAGCTGGCCTTTGCATATTTCACCCCCTTCCAATTGGTTGAAACACTTTCTGAGGTTTAGTTACTGGCAGCAAGAACTTCAGGGTAAAATATGCTGGTATTTGGGCCCTGACCTCCTTGTTCATCGCCCCACATTGACGCAGCCCTTGAGAGTGCCTCCAGCGTTGAGTTCCGCCCTTGGGCAGCAAGAGGTCCTGCATACTTGATTCTGAGGCACAAGATGGAATGCAGGGCCTTCTGCCTATAAAACCTGTGCTCTTCTGCTAATTGATGGCCTCTCCTGTGCTCTGATTACCTGTTGCAATGCTCTCTGCACCCTGTAGGGACCATTTGGGTGAGTTACACAGGCCTGATATCTCTTGCCACGAACTCTAGTTTGCCCTCTGGGCCAAACCGGTGCAACCTGCAAACCAGGATCACAAGCCAATGCTGGGAACGTATTCATCATGGGACAGGTGGGAAGAAGGGGGATGGAAGATGGCTGAGGCTCCCTTCAGTTTGTGTCTTGGTGCACAGCACTGATTCCGAGTGCTGATGTCTAAATGCACCTTTTAATGGACTCTAATGTATGTATGCGTATCTTGTTTCCCCTTCCACTCACTTGATAAACATTATGAAGTGTGTTTTCTGCATCCAATGGAAAAACTTCCTTGTGTCTAGCACTTTTCAGTCTATGCTGCAGAACCCATGTATGTTTCATTTGCATCCGCGTTTTTGCATTTTAATGTGCCGAAGAGTCATGCCCTGTGCCGTAACTGTGGCTAGTGAACAAAAAACTAAAACTGTTAAGCCTGAGTCTTCAGGTTACTTCAGGCAATCCTCCAAGCCATAGTATGGAAAAAACTGACTGAGTCTTGGGCATCCTGACTCTTTCACCCCTTGCATACTTCTGGTTTGTGCCCTTTCTTTGAGAGAAACATTTGCTGCGATGGATGTCTGAACTGGTCAAATGGTGGTTTGTGTGTGGCTTACCTCCAAAGCAGAACTGGAAATCATGACTTGGACTGGGTTCCCCATTCTGGTTTGGGGGTGAACTATGATTTGAACAGGTTAGAAAGGGAGAGTTTAGTACACATTCCTGGAGGAGGGTGTATTTGTAAATCTGTGTCACAAACTAGGTATTGGAAAATTGCTTAAACCAGCCTGTTGTTGGCTGCTTCTGGACTTGCTAATATTCTGACACTTTCCTCTGCCTGAGAATCTAAATTTTAAATTCTTATTCAAAACGTTATTATTTTCAGCAGTGCCAAAGGTCTACCTTCAGAGGCATGCCTATACATGCATCCCTGAGAAATATACATCCGAAGTCCTGTTCGTTATTGTCATTGTTAATGACAATAGTAGGAATTTTGAGCTCTGTGCAAGGACAGAAAGCTGGGTTTGTGTGAACATCCAAGTCACATTGGCCCTTATGTTTCATTTGCAGGCTGCTGCAGTATGACGTTTCACTGACCCTCTCCGCAAGAAGTACAGCTTTCTTCTCCGTTACCCATGTGCATTCTTTTCTTTAAATTCGATCCACGACCTGTTTCCAAAAATGCATACAGGTAATGTTCAGTGTCCGTTACAGTCTCTTATCTAAATGTTTGCCACTGCAGCTGCTGGGATATGAAAAGCCATTCGTGGGATTGCTTGTTGTGTTCACTTTGTGACCTTAATCTAGCCTCTTATTTGTCTCCTAAATGGAAAATGGACACCATTAACGGAACATCCGTCTCTGTTTCTACTGCCCAGAACAGGAAAGAATGGCGTGGGCAGCCGTGTTTCTGGCACTGTTCCCATTCTGTTTAGGGCAGCCATTGCCAACCCGGTGCCCTCCATATGCCGCTCCCAATTAATTGTTGCTGCTTCGGAAGAGGGAACCCTCAAGAAGACCAAGATGCAGCATCCCTGCTGTAAATGAGAGAAGGTCCACGATGCTGTAATTTTTAATCGGGACCAGAGAAAGTTTAATATACCTCCTCACACAAGTATTTTGGCTCATTCTACAGAGTCCTTCCCCGGCCATTTTACTCCAGTTTTCCAAGAATTTAGCCATGGAGCAAGTCACAGTTTTTAAAAAGGTGGCAAAATCTGTTAAACCACCTCTGATTATTCTTATCAGAAATTCAATTTGACATACTGTGTGTGTCTCTGCATTTTATGCAACTAATTCTTATTTACATTAAGCCATGATTGTTTCCTAGCCAGTGAACCATAGATCCGATTGATGGATACTGGTCTGGCTCATCCCAAAGTTTCAGAAGTAGGTGACAATAAAGCATTCTTTAAAATCAAATTTGTAACACCTGATGAAGACAAATGTTTTAGAGCCCTGCTGACGGGAAAGCTTCCTTAGTTTTTAAAAGTCATATTTTCATCATGTTGAGACTTCAGGGACCTCTTCTGGTTTGCCATCTCTGAAGGGTTTTTTTTTTTTTAAAAGGTAGAGGAGAACTTGCTGGAAGAATCTAGCACTGAATCTAGCAGTAGTTACTGGCAGCAGTTACTGGCAGCAAGAACTTCAAGGTAAAATATGCTGGTATTTGGGCCCTGACCTCCTTGTTCATCGCCCCACATTGACGCAGCCCTTGAGAGTGCCTCCAGCGTTGAGTTCTGCCCTCGGGCAGCAAGAGGTCCTGCATACTTGATCCTGAGGCACAAGATGGAACTGTGGAGACCAGGGCTCTAGTCCCCATCCTGCCATGGAGCTTGCAAGCTGAGCCTCACCTGCTACTCTGGGTTGTTGCAAGGATAAAATGAGGAGGAGGAGGAAGGACCATGTCAATCACCTTGAGTGCCTTGCAGGAAACCTGGGAGGATATTAAAAAATAAGTCACTAAATCTGGCAACTGCATAAAACATCCATTTGGATGCTAATTGCTACGGAAACAGCTACTGATGATGAAGAAAATTAATGGCATCCAGACCTCCTGCCTCAAGCAAACAGGGGGCTATAGTTCAAGGGAAAGGGGTTAGTTTCTCTCCTGCTGTCTTGAGCCTGGTTACTTTTGCTCTGTCTGGCTACGAAATGTTGGCGGCTGTTGCATTTCATTTCATTTGACCCAAAGTTTCACAATCCAACCTCAAAATGAAAAACAAGGTGTTGCAACTTGGCCCAGTGTGTGATACTTTTGTACAGTAATTTTCAGTGTGGTCATCAAATGCCTTTTGAGTTAGCGGATCATGTTTCCATTTCAGTCAAATTTACCTCCAGGGTAAAAATATGCATTTAATGTTTTTGTTTAACACATGATATATATTTTTAAAGCACACAGTTTATTAAACAATAATTTTAGAAATGTGACACACAGTATGATTTTTTTTTAAAGTAAGGCTACCAGCATCATAACAAAACTTGTAAGATAAAATTAATGAAGTATATAATACGAGGAAGTGGTGCAAAATTGCTTAAACCATAAAGACAACGAGAAAATGACAAATCCATATGCCAGCACTAAACTTGCAATATAGAAAATGTTTTGCTAAAGCTCAGACAGCGGGGGGGGGGGGGCTCAACCAAAGGGATAAAATAACCATAGAAATGTTTTGATGTTCACAGTATAAGGCTTAATGGTTTTATTAAAGGGAAATGTCTTATTTCTTGACACTCCCTGAAATTACCAGCAGTATTTGCCAGTTCTAAAGCTTACAGAAAGTGTGTGTCATCACCAAAGTGAGAAATACAGACAGTAAGTCAAGCTACTGTTCTTCTAGCTGTTGTGCTCAGTTACGAAGCCTGCTTGAGCTAGCAATTGCGTGGTCCAGACCCACACTTGGCTGCTGTTAGCCGCATAGGAATGAACAGTGCAGTCAGGGTGCAGAAAGGCTGTGCGTTGCATGGGGATGAAATCTGCCTGAAGCCCTATTTTGTGTGCCTCTAGGTCTCGGCTCACTGCCCCAGAAAGGGCTGCCTCATCACTGATCAGAAAATAAGACTTTTAAGGTTCCAAGCACTCCAGAAAGGCACCCTCTTTCTGCAACTCTGAGCTGGGGGAAATCCAGCCGGGGGCCAAAGAACTTCAGGGCCTTATGGGGGACTTCTGCAGACCTAATCTAGCCCACGGGCCAGAGGTTCCCCATCTCTGGTGTGGGCGTTACTGGGCTAGACAGAATCGGCTGTCTAATTTTGTATAAGGCAGCTCCCTGTGTCTCTCGGGACAATCATAGTAACTCATGCGGACAATAATCTGAAGGCGTCTCCAAGCCACCAAAGCAAAGCAGGTCATTGCCTTGGCAGGGGCCAGGAAACATGGACTGACCCTGGCAAATGGGGCCCAGCTAGAGCATGTCTAGCTGCAGGTAGACAAAGGGATGCAGGTGGCGCAGTGGGTTAAACCGCTGTGCCGGTTGATCGGAAGGTCGCTGGTTCGAATCTGCACAGCGGGGTGAGCTCCCGTTGCTCCATCCCAGCTCCTGCCAACCCTGCAGCTCGAAAGCATGCAAATGCAAGGAGATGAAAAGGCACCACTTTGGTGGGAAGGTAACAGCGTTCCGTGCACTTGGGTGTTTAGTCATGCTGGCCACATGGCCATGGAGACCGTCTCTGGACAAATGCTGGCTCCCTCAGCCGGGAAACGGAGATGAGCACCACCCCCTAGAGTCAGGCATGGCTGGGCTTCATGTCAAGGGGAAACCTTTACCTTTTTAGAGCATGTCTATATGGGTAGGATTTGGGTATGAGATTACTCTAATAGTGGAAGGCTGCCATTTGTGCCCGTGCCCTGTTTGTGGACTTCTCACAAGCATCTGGTTGGTCCCTGTGGGAACAGAATGCTAGATTAGATAGGCATCCAGTTTAATTGAGCAAGAACCTTGTTTTCTTCAATGAGCTGCTGCGAGGTATCCTTTTTGTTTTGTGTATGAATGTTTCTTATTTACATTTGTGTGTTTTCATAAATCCAATTTTTGTAATACAAATTGCTACTTTTTGTAAATACAGGTTTTAGATTTATGAGCCATAATCTCATAATCTTTTTATGGAACTGAATTATATCACAGGAAATGGCTCAAATGGTTTCTCATGTTTCCATCTCTTTTGCCTCCACATTAAAAAGTTGCATAAATCTTCACGCAGTTGAGGTTATGCAGCTATCTTTGGAGTTCTGTATAATTTATCTGGAAGATGATCACTTTTGCTGCTGCTCCCTGATATGGCTTACTTGAAAAGGAAGAAGTTATTTAATTAACACTCTGAGCTTAAACCTTTCATTCCCCTCTTCCCCCATAATTCCAGGTCTTTGGCTTCTGACTTGCGTTGGAGACTTCATGACCATGGTTTGGCCTCTGTGACTGTGACTGTCATGCATGCTTCTGCATGCTCATTCTTCCTTCTTGCTCCACGTCACTCCACCTTTTTGCTAATTGCACTTCACTTTCAAAGCCCATATCAGAAGCCACAGTTTGCAGTTCAGGCTGGAGACCTTGCTAGATGGACTCCACTCACTGAAGTTGCCTCCATCTGATTGCAAAGGATCCTCGACCCTTGCCTTCTGTGCACCCTTTCCAGGAGCCCAGAGAGGTAGGAAGTGATCTTCCACCAGTCCAGCTGCACACATGCCTAAGTCTGGGTCCAGGCTGGGTTTTACAGTTGCCCTCACTGCATACTGCAGTTTGCACGGTTTACCCAAAGTCAGGGCTGTGGAAGCACAAAGCCCGTTCGCAACAGTCAGGTTGCAATGCCTGAATTACGCCACTGTGTTCAGTAAATGATTTGGATTTCAGATGATTCCAAAGAGGCACGAGTTGCCCACACCAGCATGTGAACATGTGTGGTTTTGTGTATTTGCTGTTCTAATTCACCTGACATTGGGCAGCGCCAAGCTGCACCAACCATGTTGCCCTAGTACCTAGCACTGGCTGAGGAGTCCATTCAACGGAATCCCATTAATCCATGTTTAATCAGGCCCTGGGTTTTCTTATTGTTGACTGTTTTAAGGGCACAGTCCACTCCAGATGCCCCTAAACCTCTGCACCCAGAAGATTAAAGGGATCCTGTGCAGGCCAGAAGAAATGTGGAAGCAGAGGGTTTTTTTCTGCATTCTTTCCATCCTGCAAAACTTTAATTTGGATTTAGGGTGCCTTGAGGCAGTAGGGATGTTATGCCGTGTCATCACCAAGGTATGTGATATTTTGTTGATGCTAGTTTCCCCTCCTTGACCCTTGGAATGCTTCTTAAGTCTGTCTCTGGACTTGTTCTCTTGACCTTGCAGACCCAGCAAGCACAACGGCTGTGGGGTAGACAGAGGGGCCCGTTATGACCCAGTGATTTTCCAACCATGTAGTTGGGAGTCCAAAAACTCACTGAAATTTAGATGTTGCCTGGAGACTACAGGGTTGTATTAGGAATTGCTTAGACATCTCTGCATTGTCTGCTTTTATGTTTTGTACATACACAGGTTTTATCCAGTGTATAATTTACGTTTTTAATCTTTACAAACTGCCCAGGGAGCTTCAGCTGTTGAGTGGGATAGAAATATAATAAGCAAAATGACATATTTGGAGAAATCTCACTGATCAGATTATCCTCTTCTTTTTCTCTTTTCCTTTATGCTGTTTCAACATTGGC